CGCAGAAAGGAGAACAAGGAGAGAGAGGGAGAGAAGAGAGAGCGCTGAGATTGAAAGACAATGGGAGAGGAGAGAGCTATCACTGTGAATTAGTTATGGTGTAGAAATCATAGATAGAACATGTAGATTGGAAGATCAACAGAGTTAGAGATGAGAGATTTGACGATTAGGTAGGTATTGTAGGCAGGTAGGTAGGCAGGTAGGTAGTAGCAAGTAGGTAGACAGGTAGGTGAGTAAGTAGGTAGGTGAGTAAGTAGTAGACAGGGTAAGTGAGTAAGTAGGTAGGTAGACCAGCGTAAGTGGTAAGTGGTAGGTTAGATAGGTAAGTGATAAGTAGGTAGGTAGTATTGATAGAGGGATGGGGGAGAAGAGAAAGTAGTGAAAAAAGGACACAGACTACCGACGTAAGAAAAAACTCCTCAGGGTGTATAGCAGCGAGGGAGAGGGACTGACAGAGAGGCCGAGTGGCTCTCCCTTTCACAAAGATAAGAACTGCAATAAAAATTTGGCCAATAAATTCATATCTGTCGCAATCTTCGAGTGAAGGGGTAAGGAGAAGGGGGAAGGGGGAGGGGGAGGTAGGGGAAGCGGATACACCTGATATTTGAGATGGAAATATCAGAGTTTAAGTTAACTCGGTTCTCTCTCGTTCTCTCTCTCTCTCGTGCTCTCTCTTCTCTCTCTATTCCATTCTTCTCGCTTCTCCCCACATCTCTCCTTTCTATTTCCCCACTTTCTCTCTTTCTCTTTCTCTCTCTCTCTCCTGTTCTATCCCCCCTCTCTCTTCTCTTTTACCTCCCTCCTCTTCTATCATTTCTCTCTCTCACCATAAATCTCTTTTTTTCCCTTCTCTCCAGTCTCTCCTCTCTTTCCGGATAGCCTTGCAGCGGATCTCCCCCACCCCCTTTCCCTTTTTTTCTCGACATCGTATAAGAACAACACCTTCCTCCCGCCCGCGCGCCCACCCCCACCCACCCACCCACCTGCCCTGGACGAAAACCCATTACCATCATTCTTCTACTCCCTTCGCCCTGTAGCCCCCTGCTCCGGGCCCTGAACCCCTATAGCAGCACCCTCTCGATGTTTCTCCTTCTATAGACTCTCTCGATCCCATTATAAAGAGAAAGGAAGGAGAAGAAGAAGGATAGGAAGGAGGAAGAAAAAACAGGAGTTCTTCGCTACGAGTCTCGATCTCATTATAGAGAAAGAAAGAAAGAAAGGAAAGACAAGGACAGAGAAAGAAGAGAAGAAAGAGAAGAAGAAAAAGGAAGTTTCGTTTCCACACTTTCTCGAACCTAATATAAAGAAAAGAAAATAAGAAAAAAAAAATGAGAATAAAAGAAAGAAAGAAAGAAAAGAATTTCCCTTCTACCTCCTCACTTATATTCCACAAAATTCCAGAAGCTCCCCATTCCACCAGCCGCTTCCTCCGTCCCCTTCGCGAGCTCCCCATCTCCCCTCCTCTAACACTCCCCGCTTTTACTACCCTCATACACACCCTAAGTCTCCGCATACGCCCACAAACTCGCCAGTTCCCCCCGTAGCTAACTCCACACTCTTCTACTCCCCCCCCCCCCATACTCCCTCACAACCCTACAGACAACCTACTAACAACTCCAATGCCTCCACACCTAGACCCACGCCTCCACGTAACCCACTAACACTCACGTCACTTCCCCAATCCCCAACCCCACCACTTGGGCCACTCTCCTAACTCCACCACTTCCACTCCCCCAACCTTCCACCACTCCACTCCCCCAACTCCACCACTTCCCACTCCCCCCAACCTCCACCACTTCCCCATTCCCCTCACCCCCAGCACTTCCCCACTCCCCCAACCTCCACCACTTCCCCACTCCCCCCAACCCCTACTACTTTCCAAATCCCGTTCTTTCTCACTACTCCTCCTCACTCCCACTCCAATCTACACCCTCCTACTACTTCCTCACTCCCTTATAGACCCACTACTCCATCCAACCCCTAAATAACCCAACAACACTCCCATCACTTCCACATACCTCTACTCCCCTCCATCACTCCACCCTAGACTCCCTTCCACCCCTCACTCCACCTCCTAAACCCCCACTCCCCTCCACCCCCTTCCCCCATTCCATACCCCTACTCCCCTCCCCTTAATGCCCCCACTCCCTTCCCCCCCATACTCCCATCCCCACTAAACCCCCCACTCTCTCCTCCATCCCTCGCGTGCATAGCTTGTTTAACACGGCCTCCGACGTCCTATGGGGAGGCCAAGAGCCGGGCTTCCATTCATCTCCTGCCGCCATTACTCAAGGGGGCCGCTGACTTCCCAATGGCTTCTTGATCTTGGGTTTTTCTGCTTTTTCCTTTCTTATTCCCTCCCCTTTTTTC